TTTGTGGGTCCTAAATTTTCTGCGTGTGTGTGTCCATTTTTCAAACTTGGCCACTGAGAATATTGCATGGCTCCCAAGGGAACATATGGCCCAAGTTGAGAAACTTTGATCTAGATGATATTCAACTAATTCTTGAAATATTCAGAACTGCTGGAACATTTGGGACAGAGTTGTATGAGTAATACACACAGAAAATAAAATTACAACACCTTATATATGTATTTCAATTTCATATATATAGGTGCTATTCAGTGTACCTTCTATAAAAAACCAAAGGCTCCCCCACACAATGATGCAATTAAAATAAAAAAAAAATAACTTGAACAAAAATAAATGCTTTTATATACGTTCTTTTTTACAGTACTTGGTTAGTCTTGACATTAAAATTTATCAGTTTCTCATGCAGTCAATTATCGACCCAACCCGCTTAAGTTGAACATGACACTTTGGCTGGTTCGGTTAAGTTTGGCACAAGACTTATGTCAGGTTCTTTTCAGGGAGAAAGTCACGTGAGGTCGTTTCTCATCCAGTGTCTGGAACAACTGCTTCTCGCTGCTTTGATTCCTTGTATTTATTGATATTCACCTAAAATCGGTGTGGGGCGTGATACAGAACTCTGTGATCCCCCCCCCCATCTTCCAACAAGAACCCTTTTTTTGTCTGGGTCTTAAAAATTAATTACATTTCCAAATCAGGAGAGCCACTTTTTCTATGGGTAGCTTCACAGATATCTATCCGCCCTGATGATTTCTTCCTTCTCTTGGCATCTCACACCAATTCTTTCCAATGGGTGTGAGCAATTCCTCCAACTTCCTTGGTATTTCATCTGTGCCTGCCACCTTGGTTATTCTTTGACCAATGGCTCTCAACTGTTTGGCATAGCTTAACTTTATGGTCTTTAATTAAAAAGAATTATCATCTCAAATTTTGCTTATGGAAAATTTCCTATCCCGGGCTTTTTGTTCAAAATCAGATATTGACCAGATGGTTCTCTTTCCTCAACCCTGTCAGGGTCATTGCATTCCAACCACAAGGAAACTTTATTCTCGAGTTTTGGTTACAGATCAAATCTTATCCATCCTACTTATTTCTATATTTTTGTAACCAGTACTTCTAGAGCCAGGTCATTAATCAGTTGTCAAAAGATCGGCACATGGCTTGTTGTGATAATATCACCTTAAGTAATTCTTATGGTTTTAGAGAATTACAGTTTTTGAGACGAGAAATCTTCATTCTTTCTCTCAGTCTGTCCATCATATTAACCTTTTCTTTCCCTTTACCAGCACCAAATAGTGTCACAACAGAATTGAAATAACAGTAATTCTCAATCATATGGGATGAGAAAGACACAGTGTTCAGAATGGGGGATAACAGGATTCCCAAACCAATTTTCTATGGGGAACTGAAGACTGGAAAGCATCCCCAACACAAGCGTATGAAGAAGTTTAAAGATAATTTGAATGCATTCTACTTGGATGTGCAGCAGTGGGAAAAACTGGCTTTAAATCATACAGAGTGGAGGCACTTTATCAGCAAGAGATGCAATGTCTTTGAGGACAAATGTCTCAGACATGCTCAGATCAAGTGTGATCTCCAAAGAAACACTCACTCTGATTTGCCAACTGATATGCATTCTTGTAAATGTGGTGTGTATGTGAGCACATGCTGTTGTTGAGGCCAGTTTATGTAAACCATCTGAAAAGTCATCACAAAAACCAGAAGCAAATCAATTATGCCAACCTTCCTCATCAATCTGCCAATAATACCTGTATTGTTAGCAATAAGGTTTGCAGATCATCATCTGGACTGGGGAGGCATATGGTGATACATAAGAGTTATAAGGCCTGCAGATTAAATCAACCCAATCAAGGATATAGAGATTCTGTCACATATGCATGATATGTATGAAATTGAATACAGGTCTCAAGAGTTATTTTAGGAGCCATGAACATCGAAACAAGACAAAAGTAATGCAAAGTGTGAGGAGGTGGCTATCATCTGAATAAGATGTATGTATATATGTGTGTAAATTAAAATTTCAGATACACTGGGTTGTATATTGATATTTTCGTTTCATTTTTTAATTGGGTTCCTCAACTAGTTTTGGCTAGCATGGCCATCATCAGGAGAAAAAAATTCATGTTTGTTAGTAACAGTGAATGACAGGTGAATGACAGTCTCCGAGGAAGTTTAACTTGGCCTGTAGTTTACAGTTATTTTTTTATCATTAATTTTTGGTCAGTTCTGGGATTGGTCAAAGATCTTTTACAAGTTTTTTTTTTTTTTTTTTTTTTTTAAGGAGAGTTCAGGAGACCCAGGAGTCTTAGATGTACCTCTTTAGTCATTTTGATAGCTTTATTGGTGTGTTATGTGTATGTTATCTTAATTTTTGGGGTGTAATGTATGTGGGTATAGGAGATCTCATCACCTCTGTAAGCATGTCTGTCTAGTGTGGTTGAGGGTGGGGAGAGTCATTTTTGGCCCTTTATGGGTGGTGTCATCTTCTATGTAGTAATAGTAGGGTATATTTAACTATACAGAGATTATAATGTGTGAGAGAGAAATATAGGGGGTGATCTATGGGGGTTATATGTTAATTCTATCTGTGCTGTTTGTTGTTGAATATGTCTGAATAAAGTGTTTTGAGGCACAAAATCTATTTGTCTTCATGTTCTTCTAGCATTTTCAGAACTTTGTCTATTTTTATTCTTTTAATAATAGTGAATTTTGCATGACTATTAAAATCATTTTTTTTTTCTAGATTCAATGTGTAATAATTTTTCATGGGGAGCTGACTTAATCTGATTCTGATAATTATTAATTCTCTAGTGAAAGGGCCATTCAGTTATTCTCACATATTGCTTTTAGTATAGTGTGCATTCTAATAAGTAAATTATGTCATGAATTCTACAGTTAGAGCTGTGGTAGATTTTGAAAGTAGTCTTACTGACTCAACTTGTGAATGAATTAGTGTGTTTAATGTGGTTACAACTTAGACTCCTTTTGTTGTTACATGGTTGGGAAAATCCTATTGTTGTTGTTCTGGGTCTATTTCATGTCACTTTGTTTGAAATATGTTTACCATCTATGATTTCCTTAAGGTTCTTTGGTCTATGATATGCTAAAAGGCCGGGTTCCTCAAACAAAGTTTTTGGGCTTTCTTTGATATGCAGTATTTCCCAGTGACTTTTGATTATTTGAGATAGTGGAGATAGAGTAGTATCGAAAGTGGTTACTAGAGGGACGCATTTGGATTTATTTTTAATTTTATACTTTAGGGCGTATTCTCTCAGTGTGGAAATTGCTTTATTGCTTTATTTATTTGTTCCCCAATTAAGTGTTGTTTATAGCTATGTGTTGTGAATTGTTGCTTAAGATTTTTAGCGTGTTAATTCTTCATTGTTGGAACATATCCATCTAAGTGCTTGTGAATAGGGAAAGTTCTCTTTGAGGTGTTTTGGGTGGAGATACTTAAAATGTAAGTCATTGTGGGTGTTGGTGATTTTAATGTGTAGTGTTGTTTGTCGTTTTCTATTTTTATCAATGTAGATATGGGTGTTTAGAAATGTTACCAATCGTGTTGATTTTTCATGGTTGAATTTAATGGAGTCATGTTCTGTGTTTAGGGCCATAAGGAATTTATCTTGCATTCATTACCAATGAAAGGATAAATATATGTCTCCTCAAATTTGCCCATGAAGATCGTGACATAGGATGGGGCTGCAACAGTGCCAATGGCACATCCTTTTTACTTGTAGGTAGTGTCTTCCATTGAAATCAAAACTATTCAATGTGAGGATATGTCCCATAAGTTTTATGCTTACTTCTGTGGGGTTTCTTATTTTCTTTTAGTAAGTCCTTCTTTAAGAGCAGTTAGTCTTTCATTGTATTTGATGTTGGAATAAAGAGATCTAACGTCCGTGGTTACTAGAGTTGCCTTTTCTGGTACTGTTTGTATATGTTTAATTCTGTTTAGTAGGTCTGTTGTATCTCTGATGTAGGATTTTACTTCCTTAGCTAGGGGCTCTATATAGGGATGTATGTATTCAGATATTTTAGTTTTGTGGCAGTTAAAAGATGGAATGACTGACCTTCCTATATATAAGTTATCCTTGATAATAGCTAAAAGAATAGCCAAAAGCACTCTGACATACAGAACATTCAGACAAATTTTATATACTTTATGTCCAGAAAAGAAAAAAAAATTATAGAAACACAAAAAACTAAATAATAAGCTTAACCACTGTACTTTGTCAGTTGCTTTTAATGAAACTTGTATAAAAAGTGATTGCTGCCCAGATACACACACACACATTATTGTACAAGTAGCCTTATATTATAATTATAATGTGTATTCTTGCTACTCTTTTCTTTTGCCTTCTTTCTCTTTTGTCTCCTTTGATTGAATATTATTTGAATGTTATGTACCAAATATCTGCATGCCTGTTCAATTTATTTTTAAGTATCTGATATGTTTACTTAATATATATATATATATATATATATATATATATATATATATATATATATATATATATATAAATAAAAGAAATTCCTACATTATTCTAATTATTGATTTATAAGAAATTTCAAGAGTATTGAACTTAACCACAGATACCATAGTTGAATTAGTGATACTGAAAATCATTAAAAATCCCGAAAACATTCTTTTCAAACTATTTTACTTATTCTCCAGTGTGCAGTATCTTACTAATTACATTGAAATAGTGATGAACATTTGCAATGATAATCTCTTGATAGCTGCATCTTTACCTTCCCTCTTAATTAGGTTTCTTATTTTTTTGATCATTACAATCCAGGGTCACATCTGTTTTCATTGAATTATTTATGGTTACTCTGCAAAATATATCAATGAATGGATTTAATCAAATATAGCTATGACAATAAAGTAGGTCTGATTGATCAAATAAAATTGATTCATTGTATTGCTAAAGTAAGTAAAGCAATTTTTCCAATAAATATTCCTCACCATTTTTCTAATGTCAGTTTATGTATTTTTCTTTCAGATGTGGCCATGTCCTGGGCAGTATGTGAAAGCAATATATGACTTTGAGAGCAGTTACCCAAGTGAACTGAACTTGAGGAAAGGTGACATTGTTCTGGTGACCACTGTGGTTAATGAGAATTGGCTATGTGGCAAATTAGGCAATCAGGAAGGCAACTTCCCAGTGAGCTTTGTTGGGAAGTTAGTCCTTCCATCCATCCAAAAAGGCCAAAAGGTCTTTGCAGCCATCGAGAACTTCCATGCTCAAGAAGAAGGAGACTTGGATTTCTGCCGAGGTTCATAAATATTTTTCTTTGGTTATTCTCTCTCTCCCTTAACCTCTCTCCATATATACCTTTCCTCTCTCTTCTCATTTCTCTCTGAACTTGATACCCTCCCTGAAATTTGAAATCAAAGCATTTAATCTAACAAGTCATAACAGGAAATAATTATATATGACTGGATTTTCTCTTATTTTGCAAACATGGTAAATTAGAGTGAATGCAAGTGTAGAGAGAAGCTGCCCAAAAGTTGAATTAAAAGAAGGATTTTATTTTAGAGTTCCCATAGACTAGAGAAATTTAATTGGTCAAGAAATACTTTTACGTATCAGGGACTAGAATAAACAAAACTGTTTTGCGTAGTAAAGTCAACAGACTTATTTAAATATCCTGTCATTTGTGGCTGATAAAGAACCAAGTGGATTGTAAATATTGGCAAAAGGCATTTGTACTGAAAAACACATTAGCTGTAAATTTTACTAAGATTTTCTCGGTTCCTTCTTTATTTTTATTTTTTTATTTATTTTTAAAAAATTTTTTTATTTTTTTTATTTTTGTATCCATTGAGAGTTAAAAGCTGAAATCAAATTAAATGTTAATAGTTACTTTGTTCTTAAAAGCATTCTCAGGGTAAAACTTAACAAAGTTGGACTTTTATATATGGTTTTATTTTGTTTCTAAATTAGCCACTTTCTCTTCATTTAGCATCCTACCACTCTGAGTTGAAACCTACTATTTGAAATGTGAACAACCTTCTTTCTTTTATTTAATGTATCTCTTTAGAATATGGGTAGCTGATCATGGCTCTCCACAACTTCTTCTCCTTTCTAGCACTTAGTGGTGTTTTTTTTGTTTTTTTTTTATACTATCCTTCTCTTTCACTGATCCGTCATTATATACACAAGCTTGTTAGGTAAGTTACTCACTGTTTTACTTTGTCCTCCTTGTTTTCAATATGTCTTGAGAGTAGTCAAATTCTCAAAGCTCTCTTCCCTCATATGTATAAAAGAATTTCAACTCTCTCTTTTTAACTATGTGTCCTTTTTGTTTCCATCACTTTTGTTTCCATCACTTTTGTGATGCTAGTTGTTGTTAACAAAAGGTGACTATTGATATTTCAATTGAACCTGTTTTGTAGTGAGTGTATTTGCTGGGATTGAACTCAGTTCTCAGAGTATTAAGACCACTTAAGAACTGGTGGTGAGTTTCTGCAATTGGTCATGGCAGTTTGCATGTCACTCAGCACATCTGCATGTGTGTTGCACTTGGTCAATATTGTAGAATATTTCTCAGGCCAGGAATCCAGGTCACACTTCAGGGAGACCTTACAGTTTAGAGGAGAAACACAAAAATGATATTTCAATACCACCTAATGATCCACTTTTTCTGGACTTATCTAATCAACAAACTCTATGGGAAGAATGGATACAAACATTAGAAATATACTTTATTGCAGCAAGGTAGTAGATGTTTCATAAAATGGAAATGGAACCTGCTGATACTCTAGTTCTTATTAGCATTCATTTCACTGTTTATGAAAATGTGACTTCTGAATGACATTGATTTCAAACTTGACCTCAAAAGCTACATAAATGTACAGTCATATATATGACATCTCTGAATGACTTAGCTGGCATTTAGAAATTTAATGAATATTCTGCTAACGATGCTCTTATTGATTAATTCATAGAAAGAAGCTTATTTCAAGATATAAGACATCTTTTTTTATTAAAAGAAGCTGACATTTGGCACATGTTATACAAATTGTTATAATACTAGAATTATCAAACATACAAGTCAAGAAAATTGAAGAGCAGGATAATAAACTGAATCAGCTAAAAATTTTGCTTGCGTAAAAGAAAATCAGTTTTATTTAAGAAAGAAATTATCTAATCAAATAGCAAGCCAGGGTTTTCAGCAACTAAATTGTTGTAACCTAGGGAAGGTTACTGAACAGAATAATCAAACGAAGGTTGGTAATGAACGATAATACTTAGGACATGAACAACACATATAACCAACATACAGTATTTACTACCATATTTATGTGAATGGGGACATACCGATTATCGTCCGTAGATATGCTACAACATAAATAGGAGAAAGTGTTATGCTTGTAGTAGTATTTTTTTACTATCAATATACAATTTGATGGCATGCTAAAGGACAGCATTTGTAACTTTTGCCTTTTATTTTAAAAATATGTTTTTTTTCTCAAAAAATGGACTCAAAAAAGAAAGTTTATTTATCAGAAACAAATACAATATGAATCAGATTCTGGCTGCTGTTTTTCTGATGTCAAAGAAACCAAAGGCAGATTTATAGCTGTTGACACTCAACCAGCTTGACTCTCAAGCTAGTATTAATCTATTTGACTGCATTACTTGGGATAATCTATGAAACACTATTAACATTCAGTTTATCAAGTGTTCTACTAAAATATACACTTATGCTTCTACACCCCCATCTTATTGATAAGTGAAACCTTCTAATCAAATATATATCTTGGTCCAGTTCATAACATTTAAAGAATTACTGATGTGTCATCTTCTGATAGTGGTAATATTTTGAGTAGAAAGAACAGTTAGGTCTTCTCGACATTCCAGAGGACACTACTATGGTAAAAATATCATTTGTTTCTTCTTGTGCATCTGTTCTATCTAGGTTTAGTAATGTATTTCAGGAACTCTACAAACTAGAGCACTTCTATCTCAACACTTTCATCATATTATGTACCATGTCATCAAGAATTAATCTGGAAGTTGAAAGAATTATTAGTCCTTCATATTATTGAACTAGGTACAGAGCCAACACTTGGGTTTTTCCACTCATAGCAGTAAAGAAAAATAATGATATTTACATGTGCAAAACTGACACTACTAGAAAATGTAATTATTACCTGCTCTTAATGAAGCACATTGAAAATATAATGGTTGTATGATATTCATCAAAATTGATATGAAATATAGTTCTCATCATATTGAATTGGATAAAGCTTTTCACCCTATTGCAATATTCATTACTCACTCCCATATTACTCTCTTTCACTACAAGCAATTAGTGCAAAAGTATCTCCAACAATTAAAGAGTATTGTATTGATCAACTGTTTAAGCATTTACCTAGAGTGGGAAACATTTCACATGCCATTCTTGTTGATTGTATAGACAAATACAACCATGGCTGGAATCTTGCCTAAAGAGTCTTCACTCCCCCCCCCTTCAAAAAAAAAAAAAACAACTTCATGGCAAAAGCTTGGTGTCAAAGTAATTTTTTTCTGTCATACCTTTTTGCTGATGTTCAGCCCACTGAGAGCAAGGTTTAAGCAATTAAAAATATTCAGAAACCCACCTTAACAAAAGAGGTTTCTAGTTTCATGGAACTAGTGAATTATTTAGCTATGTGTATGTTAAACTTTTCTGAAACTGAAGCTTCTTGCTATTCATTGTGACAAGGCATTCTATAGAGATGGGGGTTTACCAGACACAAAAATAGTACCATTGGCAATATTATGATTACTCATTTTAAGCCATCCCTGAAAACACTCCTGATTGTGGCTGTTGGATCAATAGGACTTAGTTTTATTTTGACTCAAAGGCAAACCAAAAATATAGAACTCTCACAATGTGTAATTTGTGGCTGTGAGAGGTTTTACTTTTATGCTTTAATTTTGAGATCATATCAGATCATTAACATTTGAAAATCCTGTATCATCATTCAAACTGTCACTATGTATCTTACAGTGAGGTTGCGATTGCAAAGCTATTCATTGACAATTAGATGTATCCCTGGACAATTAAATCCAGTTGATGTATTGTCAGTTAACCTATTAGAAATTGATGAAGATGCTAGAAACAATAATTCCCTTGAAGGATATCACTATCATTTGATTGCCTTCATCATCCCAAAGCCTCTATTTGATCAGAAGTTCTTCAATATTCTCTAGCTGATGCAACTCTTCAGCAACTTGTACAATGAATTAAGAACAGTTCATGGCTGAAGATTCGGCTTTATGTAAGTGTTGTGAATGAACTTACATGCAAATCTTGATCAGCTTTAAGGATTATGCATCTGGTCATTCCAAAATCTGTACAACAGCAAATACTTGACCTACTCTATGAGACTCATCAAGGCATCATGAAAACAAATGTATAAAACAAATGTGGTGGCCAAGCATATAGAAGAATATAGAAAAGCTGAGAAGGAATTCTGTGCTATCAAGTACACCAGAGCCACTGAAAAAAAAAAAAAAAAAAAAGTGTTTGGGAGGGGGGGTTTATCATGCTAAGGTGTGATATATATATATATATATATATATATATATACACACACAGACAGTGTGACAGAAAAATTGTTGTCTAAATTATGCAAACATGAAAATAGCACTGACATCTCATTTTCACAAAAATATTTTGCATTACTAAAGAGCAAACTTATTCAATAAAATTGGCATTGACTTCAATCACAGCTGCCAGATGACTTCAGAATCTCCTGCAACTCTTCTGGACGGTCTCCTTTTTTAAGTCGGTGAATGCTGCCATAATCCATGCCTTCAGTTCATCTTTGGTGTTACAAGATTTGTTGGTCTCTCATTCAATTACACCTCACACGTAATAATCAAGGCGGTTGCAGTCTGGGGAGTTAGGTGGTCAGATGTAAGGGGTGATGTGGTTGCAGAAATTGTCTGACTGTCATGACTGGGTTCTCCTGCTTGTGTGGCATGGTGCAGAGTCCTGTTACTAGACATTGGGCCTTCCAGCAGCCACCCTCTTGCCCCAGGGTAGCACTACCTTCTCGATGTAGGCCTGAGTGTTGTCTGAGGACCCTCACTATCAAATTCAGGAATTCTTTTCTTATCAGAATGATCAGGGTAAATTTTCTGAGTTGCTGTACCTTTGTAATCACCATTAGACTCATCAAACATTTTCCGAATCCTCTGCACTGTTCTCAGATTGACACCAAACACACTGAAATGTTCATATTGAAGCTTCCGGTGTGAATGCCAAGCAGTATAGCATGCTGTTTCCAAATTTCTGGCAGAGTGAATTCCATCACGGTGCTCTTTTTCGCACAGACTGTGCCCAACTGACAGTACTATACTGTGCAGTTGACAAAATCAGAAGCAAACAATGCACATGCATGAAATTAAAAGTATAAAATGGCAACAATTTGCCCATTGCACCCTGTGTATATATGTGGTGTGTGTGTGTATATATATATATATATATATATATATATATATATATATATATATATATATATATATATATATATATATATATATATATATATATATATGTGTGTGTGTGTACACACACACACACAGAGGGGCCCCTATGTTGGAGATCCGTTCCTATGGGGTGACATAACCTGATTTTTGATGTAGATCAGAATTCACCTATATAAGCACCCACAAGTCTGCCACAATGAAGGGCAAAAAGTTCAAAACAAAAAAAAAAAACAGAAACAAGAGATAACAAATGTAGCACAATCCAACATGGTGTACAGCAGGTGAAGAAACAATGTCATCTTTCTCATATAGTGGCTCGTGACAATGTATTATTTTAAGGGAGATGGCACCATAGCCACAAAACTCCGTACATCAGGTCTGATGTAAACCAAGGACTTTGTGTGTGTATGTATATATATATATATATATATATATATATATACACACACACAGAGAGAGCAAGAACAATATTGGAGGAAAATGTCTGAAAAAATTTTATTGTGACACATTTCGTCCTTATTTAGTCTGGTGAAGTCTTAAAGGGCAAAACACATTTGAAGAAAACTTTTTCCTCTTTGCCATACATTTTTCCCCATATATATTTAGGCAGCATATCTTCATTCAAACATGTTTCATTGAATAATATTGACAATTTGTGTCTACTTATTTTTTTTACTGATCCTTTCCAGTTGTTGAATCAGTTTCCTGATGTTAAGATGAAATTCATCAAGGAAGGTGCTATAGTTTTTGTTAATTTAACAAATTCTCAAGGCTCTCTATATCAAAATTAACAAACCAACACTCAACAAAATTTATTACAAATATACCAACAACATATTAAAGTGCATATAACATTCAATGCCATTTTACATTACTACCAGTTTCTAGTTGGCTCTCTTATATTTGAAACCCGTTTTGCAAAAAATTTCATAACTACTATGAATAATTTTTTAAAAATAATTAAAGAGTGTGTTTTTGCACAAGTTTTTTAAAAATCACCATCACAATGGAATGCAAATTTTATCACAGTTACAATAAGTTTGTAATTTACCCCGGAGGATGATCTTGGAAAAGGTCAAAAGTACTTGTGTTAACAAAAAGTACACCACTTTTCTTGATGAATTTCATCTTAACATCAAGAAACTTATCAGACAACTGGAAAGGATCAGTACACAATGTTTCTATTATTCAATGAAACACACACACACATACACACACACACACGTCAGTGATGACATATTTGGTGTAAGTGATGGGTGCACTCATTGGCCAGAAATTAATTTTATTCAATCTGCACACTCTAAAGTTATTACTGTCTTGATCAAATTTTAACTGGGTTTTGTTATCCTGATTTTTTTTATTATTGATAATGTCATACATCTAACTAGTGTGTAGATATCACTGATTTATTTATTTTTTTGTCAAATGGTATTAACACCAGAAATGAGACTTTCTTTACTTTCCAAGATAATGTTGAGACATGTGGATTGAATACAAGTGAGAAATATACACATTGACACCATTCACCTTTATCACAAGCAAAAGCTTCTAATGAGAAATTTCTGCTCCACTTGCAAAGTTGTGTAAAGATCAGCATCCATTGTGGTTCAGTGACTGTTTTTCATCAATGTCTAGTAAAATATTCTTTGTTGCTCTATGGATTGTAGAATTCTTTGTTCCAGCAAAAAGATTAGTTTATTATGTGTGGACACACACATAATAATGGATCTTACTCCAGTTATTCATCATAACTTTTCTTTTTATGTAATATATATATAATTACTCTGTTATTTGTCTAATAAAATTTAAAAAAAACACTTTTTTTCTTTTAATTAACAAAAAAACTAATGGTTATTTTTGGTAAACTAACTACAGCTGCTTAAGCTTTAAAATTAGAATTTCTCCTGGGAAAAATATAAATATACAAATTTCATAAAATATTTGATCTTGTGAGTTTTAATAATATTAGTTTCATTTTTTAACATATTTAACGAACTTGATCATAACATTATAAAAAAACATTATATTGCAAATATATATAACAAACTGTTAAAATATATGAACTTTATAAAAACAAAAAAAATCACTTTTTGAAACAATGTCAAAACAAATAAGCTGTTGGACAGTATTAGTGACTTGTATAAAACTGAGCCAAGTCAACAAATAAAAAAAAAAAAAAAAAAAAAGTGACATATTTTATTATCAAATCAATTAACCAGTTCCATCAAAAATATTTCAATAATTTTTAAATTGTATTGTACTTCTAAAATATCAAAGACTGTTAATCTGCAGGGTGGTCCGAAAGTCTTGTCACCCATCCCTCTCTTCCAAACTAGGAGATTGTGTCAGCCATCTGAAATAGGACCACCCTGTATATGTTCTTATTTTTATATTTCTTAAATATTAAATGAAACTGAATGGAAAATTAACATTTTATCCTGTTTATTGTTCTTTTGATAAAAATAATTATTTTAAATGAATCTCTATCTCTCTCTCTCTCTCACACTCTCGCACACACACACACACACACGGTGTTGAGAAGTTCTGGACTTAATGAAGAAGAGATTAAAAATGAAAAGGTTATGATGTTTAATTATTTGGCCAGATTTTTGAAGTGGTTTAGACCAAGAACTTTTCATCATCCTGTCATAAGTTTATTTTCTTGCAATGTGTTTTACACACATGACTTTTATATTTCATATAAGTAAGGCATCAGGTTTTCATATAATTACTGGAAAAGAACTTCAGTTTTTACAATTGAACATCAGTTGAATTGCTTCAGATTTATTCTGAATATGAAACTGACTTCTCAAAATTGTCCTCTCTGAAAAATAAATCACTGCTTAAGAAGTACATAATATTTTAATAGATTATAGAATTAAATTGATTAATTATTATATATTTTCTTTTCCCTTTCACACAATGAATTGGGATATGACTTAATTCCTTTGTCTAATCTTCAGATTTATAAATGTGCAAAAAGTATAATCAGGAATGTGACTATTTAAATTTCTCACAAGATATAGCATAAATAGATAAATATAATTCCAAACTTTTTTGTGAAATACAGACATTTAATTCTTGTCTATATAATAAAAGATTAAGAATTTTCTTTTTTTTTAATTTGTTTCAAAATTTGTAATATTTCATGATCCTTAATGTTAATGAGATATAAATTTCTCGCTTGCATATTGTAAAAAAAAAAAAAAAAAAAAAAAGTAACTCTTTCATTAATACAACATCGTACTATTTATATAGAAACTAAATAGTGTTGACAGAATTAAATCTGACGCTTACCCTACAAATACTCATTATTTTTTTTTTCTTTTTGTCTTATTACAGGTGATGTTATTGTTGGTGTCTGTGCTCGGGATAGCAACTGGTGGTGTGGCTCCCTAGCAGGCAAAAACTCAAATGGTATTTTCCCTTTGACCCATGTGTTTGAACTAAACCACAAAAGTGATGCAATTCAGTCAAAGACTTCTAGTGTGGAGGGTCAGGTTGTGCGAGCGCTGGTGGATTCCACCCCCCAGCTGGATGAGGAACTTGGATTCAAAGCTGGGGACCACATCACAATTATTGAAGTGGTCGATGATGATTGGTACATTGGGGAATGCCGTGGAAAGCAGGGAATGTTTCTCACTTCCTGTGTTGAGTTTCTCGACCCTACCCTTAAAAGCCTCAACACCACAAAAATCTCCTCTGCAAGTCTTTCTCGGACTACCGCTGCCACAGCTGCCACGTCTTTCAATCTATCTCGGACTTCGCACACATACAACAGCGAGAATACGCGATCATATGACACTTCTGTGACCCCCTATGCAAGAACTTTGTACCCATTCAAAGCACAGGCAGGAAATGAGCTCACCTTCAATGCAAATGAAATCGTGTTACTGTTGTGCCATGTGGACAGTCAGTGGATAAAGGGGGAACTGGATGGGAAAACTGGTATTTTTCCATCCAGTTATGTGGACATCATTGTTGACTGTCCTCATTTAGAGGCAGACATTTCCAATGTGTCCACTTGTTCTAGTATTGCAGAAGAAGCTGCTGCCCCCCTTGCCACCGACAGTGTACAGGAAGAATATTATGGTTTAGTCAAATACAACTTTAAGGCTGAGACAAGTGGTGACCTCAACTTGAAAGAAGGAGACACAATAATAATACTGCAGCAAGTGGACATGAATTGGTTCCTGGCCAAAAATGATGACAATGAAATTGGTCATTGTCCTGTGAACCATATTGATGTTATAGGGTCTGAGCCAAAATTTTTATCAGCTGAATCTTCATTTAGTAACACAGAGGTGAGTGGGAGTAATGTGCTTAATGATGCTAAAACAAAACCTGAATGTTCTAGCCTTTATTCTAATGCTGAGAAGGGTAATGGCTACCAAGATAAAGAAAATAACAACATCTATAGCAACCAATCAAAGGAAACAAGTTGCTCAGTGTTACCAGCAGCCAGCAAACCTTCACCTCAACTTAAGCCCATCCTTAAACCAAAACCCGTGGTTGTGCCGAAGCCTTCATTCTCCACTTCCCCTTCTAACTCTTTGAACAGGCCTCCCCGACCCCACAGTATCAGTGGAACTTCAAATTTTGATACACATGGCTTGAACTCTTTAATTGAGAATGAAATACAGAAAGAACACCGGAAATCTTACTCTCCAATTCTGGATCGTAATGAGAACATGGATTATGGTGGATCATCCGGCCGGCAGGTGAAGTTAAACATCAACGACCAGATGGTTTACTTTGGGGACAAAACCAGTGCCTCTTCATCCGCCTCACCCCTTGTATCTGCTCTCTCAACATCCCCACAAAGCCGGAAAGCCAAACGAGTCTCTTTGGAAGGTCTCCCTAATCTTCCAGAAAGCCAGGACAAACCTAGCTCTAAACCTGTCCCTATCCGTCGACCTCCACCTCCCCCACAGCGTAGTTATTCTTTTGGTGCTAACACAGGTGCTCTGAATGATAAACGATCTTCCCTGCGTAAGTCGGCCCCTCCAAGGCCTTCTGGTTCCCGCCCGTCCCCCTCCAATGGGACATCACATGCCTCTAATGGGAAGGTTGTCCATCGAAAGGTTTCTGATCGTATGATTCCCTCCAGGCCAGCACCAGCACGCCCCCCACCCCGGTCAGCACCGTCAAGTAAGCGGAAATCCCAAGACACTTCAGATCTCATTACCTTCAGCCCTAATTCTTCGATCACAGGTAGGTACCTATACATTTCCAAGTTTCTTGTTTTGCAGACAAAGACGGGTAAGTCATAATCCTATTGACAACTGATTGTTTTGAAATTAATCACCAAACAAATATTATTTTTATCAGGCAATTTAAATTTGAATATCATCAGCTTCTTCAGCTAAAATTTAAAGAAAGATTTTTTTTTTTTCATTTTATGATGGAAAATTCTTCACTAGTGTGTGCGTGTATGTGTGTATATATATATATATATATATATATATATATATATATATATATTATCCAAAGCCTTAACTGGTTCTATGAAATGAATATATGGAATGGAAATGGATGCCATTTTCAATTTAGGAAAATTCATCCAGGAATTTCAGCACCATGTAAATGGAAGTAAAATAAAAGTACAAAATAGAGAAAAATCCATTGAAAATGCAAGAAATGAAATAATTATTGAAGAAAAATGCTTTTCTGTGTCCATTTATATATTTTCATGCAATCATGAGCACCTGTAAATAATTTTAAATATTAGTTTTTGTTTCAACATTTACCATATCCAGATACTTTAAAAAGACAGTAGAAAGACAAAACTAATTAGCAGCTTGCTTCTTCCACCAGGAAGTGAAGTTAAATAATGTGTTATCTTTTCTGGAGTTTTATAAAAGACAGCAAAAGAAAAATATTATTTGCTATTCGTTTTTATGGAAGGGCTGTAGACTCTTGACAGGAGGATTTCAAAAGACATATGAAACAAGTAGAAAGAAAACGTAGCTAGGCAAGGACATAAACTTGTCTTTTGGCTAACCACATCTTTGTACTCTGATATTAGAACTGATGAGAAGTTGACAGGAATTTTAAGTTGAACAGCAACCTCTGTTATGTTGAATTGTTACATACAAGGAGAAATAGTCATTCATTTGAAAACCTTTTATTTACATGCACACAAGCTCATCAATTATGTGGCCAGCAACTTGAACCTGTTTATATATAACATGAAAATGGAAATTATAAGCAATATTTAGTGTATCTCTTACTTTTTTCTTTTTATGAACTATATAAATGCTTCTTTTCACTGAAGTATTTTCTCTCTGTGTAATTAATAATTGTTATTGTAATATTAGCTGTTTCCTTATAAGAAAACATTCACTGACTGAACAGCCAATACTGTCATCAGTTGAAATTTATAAAATCTTTCTTTTAAAATAATTTTTCACAAAAATATGTTTCTGAACTACATTAACTGTCATTGCTCTTTCTAGTATTGATGAAGGGTTCCTTTCTTGCCTTTTGTTTGAAGTTGTGTAGAATGTCAGCATCTTGATTATGTCATAACTAGCAGTGTAAGTCAGCCCACCCAAAAATAATCAATATTACTAACAACATTTGGGTGCAACTGATGTACGGGGGGTTGGCAATTTGAATTTGGGTGTGGCCCTGAAAAGGGGACTGTATAATAATAAATAATATTGTAATAATTTAAACTATTTACTTTTAGTAAAGTTTTTATGAAAGATATATATCCAAGGAGAGATAGTAAATAGTAAAATGTTGCTGAGTGTTATAATGGACAGGAAGTAGTGGAGAGCTATTGTTGCCAACAATTTGGACTCAAAACCAGCACTGAAGAATTATCTATCAAACAAGAAAAATTTCATTGAAATCAGATGAAAACTGGAAATTCATAAACAACATCTGATCACACACATACACATTTTGAAAATTATAGATATAAATTCTCTCTTCAAGTTATATGTGCTATCCATTTTAGTTGTTGCTGATGTTGAAAGTCTTCAAATGATGTTATGGTTTTTGTTATCTGGTCCAGTTCTTTGTGATTCTATAGTGCCAGTCCACAAGGTTCGATGAAAGATGTTCCTTACTGAAACCTACATGTTTCACTCACTTCACTCAAGTTTGGTGTCATGAATGCAGCCATATGAAAGACTTGATCTGACAAGATTATTTAACAAGAAAACTCAAGTTTTTAGGTTAATGGTTTGATTATGTAGCAAGTTGTGTTGGGCAAAACTACCCCTAGCAGAGCCTATTCTGTGTACAAATTCCTTATCACTTCTATTAAATTTGTTATAACTGATTCATACAGATCGTCAATAAATACATATTCTTTATATGTTTCTTCACAAGACAGAAATTTTTTTACAGAAGGAAATGTTTTGTAACAATGCTGATGACTAGTATATAAAAATGTTATTTGTAGATACTCACTCATGGTACAACTTAAGCATAAGAGAAATCATGTAATAATATCTTCTTTTTTTTTTCTCTTTATTCCAATATTATGCAATTCTAAGTGACTGCCTTTGCTATTGCTTGAACCTAATTTGTAAGCCAAAGGAAATTTCTATTAGATTGGTTTTCTTTTGAAGTGAACAAGTTCAATAAAAACAAACCCATATTTTCCTTGTTGTACTGATCCTGGCAGAAATCTGTTTGAGTTCTCACATAAAGCTTTTTGTTGCCTTCAGTGATTGAATGACAGTAATTTATAAGAGAGAAAAAAATATATTATTAAGCTATCTGTCTGCAAACTAGGTTAAATTTTAATATTTTGTGATATAAATTTTGAAAAGTCCTGCTCACATCTCAAACAGCTGCTGTAGAATGTAAAATTTTGTTTATGGGAAGGGTCATATATGATATATTGTTTTCAAGTGTCTCATGATCTGTATGGTATGATAAAGCAAAAATAAATAAGAGTGAAAGATGATAAACATTTTATAAACAACCATACAGTTTAAATCTTGTCATAATTTTTGAAATGATACATGGTGTATTATGAATTTAGTTCACTTTTTCTGACACAAAAAAACAATGATGAATCAGTAAGTCTGGAGTCAAACACAGTTATAAGCTGAATTTTGATCTGAAGTTTTCACTGTATAATATTAAAGCTATGTGCTAAATGAGGAATGGTGTGATTAATTGCATTAGCAAGGAAAGAGATTATGTTGAAAAATATTGTATAAATTTGTTTTATTACTAATCTGTGAATGTCTCTATGAATTTGGTTTATCAAAATATACATCTTAATTTTGTTACTAGATGGATTGAGGAGTGTTTTATTTGAATTGACAAAATATCTAATGTGATTGAATTGTTACAGATGTCATGTCAGTATGCCTTTGTGAAAATATTCATATTTTGGTTATTGATTGTAAAATGGAAGAAATTCGTCAACATTTTAAGTATATCATATTTTTTTTTTATTTCAAAAAAGGTAAAAATGCTGCTCAAGTGCAAAAATGAATTTGTACAGTTTATGGAGAATATGAAGTGGATGATCAAACATTTTTCTGTTTGAATTATGTGTTTCATGATCAGATAATGCTACACTTAGGAAAAGTGGAAAATAACTTACTAAGACAGAAAGTCCTTGAGAGTGTCGCCATTGAATCTTGCCAAAATGTAAATATGTGACCCGGATTTTTTCATATATCTCACTTTCTAAAAGATATACCTCTTTCCCAAACCAAAATACATGAAAAAATTTTTTTAAAAATTCTATTTAAAATAAATACATAAATAATTTATCAAATAAAATAATATATAATACTTACATTGATAAAAAAAAGTAAATATATAAAAACATATCAGGAAAAAAATTCAACATTTACTCACTTTTGTTTATTAGGTGTTAAATTTCAGCACTTAGCATCTTCCATATTTTTATCTTGAACATTCTTAAATCAAAAAATTTTGTAAACATATAATCCTTAGATTTTTAGATTCTTGTAAAGAATAGTCTACCTTCTTTGTCCTTAATTATATATATATATATATATACATATATATATATATAGAGAGAGAGAGAGAAGTGTGTGTGTGTTAAAATTCACTTAATGCATGGTTCAAAAGCTACTCAAGGTAGAACTTTAATGGTAAAATGGTTATAATGAATGAGATCTGTAATATGAATGAAAGAGGTGTTAGGAAATGAAGATAAAGGAGATTGATAATAATTGATCATTAACTTGTTAAGATTTTTAGTTTCCAGGGAAAAATCCCTATGGGTGTCTCTTCCACAATGTAGCAGTTTTTAGGAAGAAGCTGTTTGAGTAGAATTTTATCCTTACATTAGGAATAAAGAGAAACTGAAAGTGATTTGACTCCATGGAAGTAGTATAGTGTGTCCTAGCTGTAAAAGAATAGAACTCATCTGAACATTTGCCATGGAAATGAAATATAACTAAGACCATTCTTCATCAGCCACCAAAAAAGTGTGATGCTGTGAATATAGTGCAATTAGAAGGGAAGTCCTTCTATGACTTCCTTCTAGAAAATTAAACAATTGATTCAAATATGTATTGCTTCTAATTAAACCAATTGAAGATAACAATCTATAGAAAGAGTTTGAAATTAGTTTAAAAAGGCATGATCTTTTATTGGGACAGTTTAACACCCAATTTTTCTACAATGAAGATGAAAAATTGTTGTGATTTTGGTTTTACTCATCAGTTGTATTCACCAGATCTTACACATTCAAATTATCATTTATTTCAGAATTTTCATAATAAAAAAAAAAGTTCAGATCTCTGAAAGACATCAAATGGCATCTAGATCATGTAGACACCTTCTTTACTAGGTAAGGTAAAATGTTCTGGGAGGATGAATTTATGAAGTTGTTTATGAAAATGGCAGAAGTTAGTGAAAAAAAGTAATTCACAAATATGTTCAATAAAGTTAATATAGAAAATAAATTTAAAAATTGTTTTATTTTTAATTAGTAAATAAACTTAGGCAAAAACTACTTTTATTTATTTTATCCATAATCTTGAGCTTGTTTGTCCTCATTGTTACAGTAACAGTATTATTAATGTGATTCTTGTGTTACAGAATGTTCATAAATATTTTTTACATACTTTTTATACAATTGGGATTCCTAATTGAAAAAAGATTAATGGATTTGTCAGTGAATATCATTAACTTCTAATGAAGACCATTGCAATACGAAGACATGCATCTCATGTTAACACTTTTAATTTTCCTACCTTAAA